CCAGGTTATTGGTTAAACTCTCTTATGTGCAAAAAGGAGGTTTAAATATGCATGCATGCACACTTACATAGATGAGTGGCCCAACGTGTTTATAATGAGAAATATTTTGGTGAAATATATTTATATATTAAAAAAAAAAGTAAATAAGTAAGGTAAGTGGTAATGAAGGGGTTATTACAAAGGTAAGTACTTTGATATGGAGAGCAGAGCAGATGGACGGGGTGACCAGGTGAAGGCAGGAGGTGCCTGACAGGTAAGTAGCAGGTGGCATGTATAGGCAGGCACACAGGCAGGCACTGGAGACAAAAAGTAAAGATTTAGTAAAAAATCCAATCATAAGTTAGCAAGCCAAAATCTATTACTGTCTGCAGCTGTAGTACAAACAAACTGGCAAGGACCTGTGGGGAACTGGTCCTCTTATAATGCTGGTGATTACTGGCAGGTATGCAACTGTGCAGCCTTCGGTTGTCACACCCAGTTAGGCAAAGACATACACAGACACACAAGGGGAGGGGGAGAGACGGAAATAGAGGAAGTGGAACTCTGCAGCACGTTGTGACAAAACTGGCAATTTGATCTACTACAGGTCAAAATTTTGGACACACTTTTTCATCAAATTTTCTACTTTATTTCCATGATTATTCACATTATTGATTTTCAGTAATGGCATCAAAATTATGAATGACACATACTGAATGTAGTAAACAAAATGTAAACTCAAAATAACTAGATTTTAAAAATGTAAAATATAGTCGCCCTTTACGGGTGATGTAAGTGAAAACCATTTCAGAAGACTTCATCATGAAGCTCAGTGAGAGTTTTTTTTTTTTTTCTTCTTTAATAATTCCATATATCTTGCTTCAGAAATGTGATGTCTTTCGTGTGTATCTAAAGTGTAGGAAGTAGTAAAGTAGAAAAAACAGATTGGATTCCGTCAGCTATGTTTTTTTTTTCTGTCTTAAATATTTCTCTGGAGGGAGGAGCTAACTTTGAAACTGACACGTCCTTTCATTTACAGTAAGGAGTATCTATTTTAGTCTGTTGCACTTTTGTCTACATTCTTTTGCCATGAACCCTACAGACATCTTGACAGTTTTTATCATAATGTGATGGTTCTTCACACAATAATTACAACATTACAGTTTGATATAGTGACCTTCCCTCTCCTGTAAACCAGAATCTGAACCACTGAACATTTACTGTTTGGTTATATTAATCAGTTATATAACTTTTGTGGAAGCTAGCCACTTCTGAATCCTGTATATTTTGCTCAGGGATAGCTACTTTTGTGTCCCTTAACCACTGGACCATGAGAAGTCCTCCTAAGTCCTAGCCTGAGCCACTGCTATTTAGTGACTGTGAATCTAACCGAGCAACAAACTCCACTATTCACTGTAACTTCATTCTATGGCTTAAGTGCCCAAACATAAAACCCTTCTCACTTGGAGCTCACACTTGGATAAACCCAGAATAGCTTTATACACTCCCATCTCTGCAAAAGTACTATGTAATCTACTGGCTTTAATCCTACATTAGACCTGAAGCCACCAAAGCCACAAGACAGGTTATAAACAACTTTTTAAAGTGAATGTGAAAGGTCATTACAGGTTTTATATTACACACAATTGAGTCTTATGATTTAGGTCATGTTAGAATGTTGTTCTCATCAAAAACATTTCCAAAGTTGTGTTTTGTTTCATTCATGTATGTCTGAGTAATCCTTTATTATTAGTCTGTCTACATCTCCAAGCTCAAAATGCTCTTTTTCACTATGTATTGGTACTTAACAGCCACCTTTTACCTTTAGTTCAGTAGTTATCAGCAATTCCAGGGCTGATATGATCCAAATGATTCTAATGAAGGTGTATGGAGTTTAAAACATAGTGGAGCACTTCCTGAATTACCACATGTAGAGGCTGTGCTATCATTATGCAACAGTAGGTGATTGTCTAGGGCCCCCAAACCTGGAGGGGCCCCCAACCAATTGCCCTGAGTGCCACTAATGGCCAAGGCCTCACAATAATTTGATTTTCTCTCAATATAACATCAAATGAGACTAGTTTATTTTTAAACAAGAAAACACCATCAAAAGATTAGATATCTGACTGTCAAATCTATATTAACTGTCACAGCATTTCCCCCTTTCAGGTTAGAATGGAGTAGTAAGTAACTGTACTAGCAAAAAATAAATAAAACTACTTTCAGCTCTGGTTATCTAGTTATCAAATTAATAAGACAAGTTTCCAATCAACCATAATTCAAATAAAGACGTGGTTGTCTCATAAACAATGAGGGCAAAACAGACAATAAATATTATTTTTAAATCCCCAAAAAATAACAACAACAACAACAAAACTAAAGTTCACCGAGGGCCCCCAAATTGGTAACTCCGCCACTGACCACATTTTGAAAGAAGAGACTCAGCCTAAATATGCAGGGTTTGTGTGTTAAACGTGTGAAAGAAACAAAACACGACTCCAGGTATGTTTTTTGATGAGGTTTAACAAATAAAACAACAAACAAATAAAATAACCGATAAGCTGAGTTAAACTGTGAAGTGACATTGCAGTATATGATATGATAAGCAAAAGTACAAAGTTAATGCTGATATGCCTGTTGAATTAATAACTGGTATTTGGTCTGTCAGTTTTTATTTATTTATATATTTTTTGTACCATTTATTATTTTGTTTTGGGAACAGCAGGCTTCACTTTACTACACAGAAAAAACAGGGTGAAGAGTTGGGAGAGACATTCAGTTAACTGTTAGAGACTGAAATCTAATGTTGCTGAGGCTAGCACAGAGTCTGCTATGTGTGCTGAAATGAAGTGTTTGACCAGCAAATTGTGCGTGTATCCTAAAATTGTTTGTAACTGTTGAGTAAATAAAATAGAAATAAAACAGAATTTGCTTCTCAGTCTGTGCAAATAAACAGTAAACATTCCCCTCTTGAGTTCAATATTGTTAACTGCTGAAATCTTGCGGACACATTTTCTAAAAGGTACAGTAATTACCAGCTCTTTCTATTCACTTATAATTGATCAAATCACATGTGGCCCTGATTAAACACCCACTCACACTTCACCATGAATCATGCGTCGGGTGAACTTGGCGTAAATGTGATCATGGCCCCCGCTCTATCTCCACTGCTCAGGATGGCAGTAATGGGAGATTCATCTTTTCTACAATGAATAAGTGGGGCGTTGGGGGTTCTCTCTGTTCCCACAGTGTTATTTTAGGCACAGACATGATTGAGGAGTCACCAGGCTGTCTACAATAGGATTTATTAGCACTGATATCAGGGGTGAGTAAAGGATACAAGTGGAGGAGTAGTGAGGCGACTCTCAGATCAGAAGAGCTGAGCAGTGGACTGGGAACTGTGAAACGTAGAGAAATGTAAAATAAAGGGCTCATAAGTAGGAGGAGTAGAAAGAAAAAAGAAGAAAACTGGTGTGAGAAAAAATTTTTAGGTTCGATTGTTTTTTTGTTTTTTTTTCCTTTCTTTCTTTTAGCTATTTGAGTTCATGTTCAAGGGCTGAATAAGTCATCTGCTTACAATTTATTTTGTCTTCTGTGCTCTCAGGTCTCTCTCTCTCTTTGTCTTTCTCTCTCACCACTTGTACATCTACATCACCAGATGTTTTCATTTCATCTCAACCAGAACAAGAAGAGATAAAGATCTTACTCCTGACCAGAAAGACATGATTGTATTGGGAAATTATTAATGATAGAGATCACATATAAAGTATTATGGTAAAATTGAGTTCTATTATTTATTTGTGACCTTGTTCTATTATTTATTTGTGACCTTGACAAGATGCTTCACCCGCCATGCCATACAAAAAATTAGTTGATCAGCATATAGTGGGGCCATAAGATTTATAGTCTGATGCAGTGTTTGATAAAGTCTTTCTTATGTCGTGTTTATTATCCGTGTTTGAAGAAAAGTAGTTTGCTCACAGGAAATAAAAAGACTGAAAGTGTCTCATGGGTTGTTTTAATCTGTCTGAAGTATCCACTACACTGGCAGGAACACCTTTTTTTTCTTGACTTTGACTCTGACTAACAAAAGTGAAGAGCTGTAAATTAATTACTCTGCCATTAACACACAAATCTTTCATTTATTGTTATTGCAACACAATGACTCAAAATAAGGAAATAAGGAAATAAGGATAGGATATATATATATATATAATATTTCTGTCCAATTCGGCAGGATTAGAAATTAAATCAGCTCTGGATAATTGCAATGTCTCACTTTAATTTGCCATTTCTATTATTTACATGTTTGTTATGGCCTCCCCGGATGATTTTTAGTATCTTCTACACAATGCTGTAGTGTAAAACAGTGTTTTACAGCAACGAAGTGCTGCATATCAAGCTGTGTCTGATTTTTGAAACTTGGTGCAGCAAGACATCCATAAATCTTTTTGATTAAATAATAATAATAATAATAATAATAATAATAATAATAATAATAATAATAATAATAATAAAATTCAGTCAATTACAGTCACATGAGCAGTATAAATTCCATAAAATCACAAATTTCTTCCATTAGAAATTAATATTAATGAGAGAATTCATTTTATATTAATAAGGGAAGTTTGGTTATCTAGTTAACATCTATAATAATAATAATAATGCCTGCCTCTCAAAGTTCTACACTGCAGTCATTATTCATTCGTGCCATAGCCAGTGTAGCCAATCTGCTGATCATATTACTGTTTAAAATATTTTTGTTTCCAGGCAGTCAAGGGTGACCTGCCAAGCACCTGCCAGTAAAGGAGTTGATACTTTTTACAGACAAAAGATAACTGGTTCAGAGGTTTATGTACGAGTTCATGAAGTTTAGGAATGCATAAAATGTTGTAGATGATGGGAAACAAAGAGATCACATGACAGCAAACCAACTGGTTTTACAAGAAATGTCTTATCTAATCTTTCACCACTATATATATTCTCTCTCCTGTCTTGAGTCACGGCAAGGACTCGGCATCAAGTTGGAGAAGACTAAGTATATCTGAATACATTTTTAGACAAGACAATTGCTTCTGGCTCAGATACCATTTTCTCCTGTTCTATCTACCTGAAAATGTCCAAAGATCCAAGGAGCCTCCCCTGTAAGCACAGCAGCTGTAAAAACTGTCAGAAGACATGGAAAGTGGACAAACTTTGTCCAGCTTGCCTGAAGTCCTCCTCGAACAACCCGCTTCTGAATCAGGATGACGAAATCCTTAGCTACAGTTTAGAGGACAGCGATGATCATCTATGTCCACTGCACCTGCAGAAGCTAGAGTTCTTTTGTCTGGATCATGAGCAGCCTGTGTGTTATGTATGCAAAGACACACGAGCACACAGGTTCCACAGATTCAGTTCAATGCACACAGCACTGCCAGATCTGAGGGGCAAGATGCAAAGGGCTCTGGACATCCTCAGGGACAGACTCAAGGTATGTTCAACATTCATTTTATATCATATAGACCAGGGGTGGGCATTTTTTTCCATGGGGCCACATGAGAAACAGATCATGTTGTGAAGGGCAGGACCAAAATGCTTAACACAATTCTGCATAATATTAATTGTAGGCACACTTGTCTTGATTTATGTATTGCGTAATTTTATACGTGGAGAAAAAAAAAAAAAAAAAAACACCTCTAAAATCAATGCCGCTTTAGTCCATGCCTGATGTAAAATGTTAACATATGTATATTTTGTTATTCCAAATTAGCTTAAACAGGCTGGTCAGAGTCAACCATATAGACTGTGTCATTTCACAGTAATTAAAAGTACTTTTAGCCAAGCAGTATGCTCTTCATGTTCATGTTCAATGTACAAGTGTAATTTTGGGTTGTTAAATAAATGCACAAAAACAATAACAATTATTGCAACCTGTAAAATAATTTACAAAAAGGTGTGCCTAAATTAACATTGAGTTATGTTCTAATGGAAAGAATCAAATCAAATACATATTTTACCTTCACTCAAAATATCATCTTTCCTTTCTGAGCCATGATCAAAATCTATTTGATGATTTTATCATCAAATTGCTCAATGAAAGTCAATGAAACAACATTTTCTTGCAATACAAGTAAATGTAAATAAATGTAATAATGATTTTCTTTACCATCAGAGTCTGAATAAATGCCAAGACCAGTGCATCACAGCAGCGGCTCATATCAGAGCACAGGCCCAGCTCACAGAGATGCAGATCCAGGCTCAGTTCAGGAGACTCCATAAGTTTTTACAAGACGAAGAAGCAACCCGAATCCAGGCACTGAGGGAGGAAGAGTTGAAGAAGACTCAAGACATGACAGACAAGATGATGGCCATAATGAATGATATCACATCCCTGACCGAGACCATCAGAGCATCAGAGCAACAGCTCAAAACCAATGATTCCTTGTTTCCTCTTGGGTACAAGGATGTGATAGACAAAGCATATCGCAGTCTCCTGATAAATGTTCCAAATCTGGGGGCTAAAGTGTTGCTGGATCAGGCCAAACATGTAGGCAACATGGCATTTCACATCTGGAGCAAAATGAAGCATGTGGTTCAGTTTAGTCCTGTCATCCTAGATCCAAACACAGCACACCCTCAGCTCATGATCTCTGAGGACCTCTGCAGCGTGGGGCAAACCAGGAAACTCAATCTACCCCAGAATCCAGAAAGGTTCACCTGTTATACCCGTGTCCAGGCATGGGAGGGGTGGAGCCAAGGGTCCCATAGCTGGATAGTGGAGGTGCCTGATGACTCCTACTGGGTGATAGGGGTGGCTAGTGAATCGGTTCTGGGAAAAGGCACAATTCTAAAAGGATTCTGGGAAATTGTTGTGATGAATGGAAAATACAAAGCCTATGCTGGGCTCGGAAGCTGCAATGAACTGAATGTAAAGAAGAAGGTGGAGAAAGTGAGAGTTAAGCTGAACTTTGACACAGGGAGACTGTCCTTTTATTATGCAGGAACAAGGAAACTCATACACAGGTTTACGTACAACTTCAACGAAAAGTTGTTTCCATATTTTGAGACTCACAGTAATGTCAAACTGAATATTCTACCAGTATCTACAATTGATCTGAAGATTACCAGACAATGATGCATTACTTGATTATATTTTTTCTCACTGATTGTAACTCGTCTGTCAGAATATTATCAGTGTAAGAACAAATGAAATATGTTATGTGACTAAAGTCATTTACAATGTGGCACATTTCTATTTTTATTTTTTTGTATTATTATTAAAATGTTGCATCATAATTCTGTATGCATACCTGAAGATCTATTAAATGTATTTGTTATATCTATTCTAAAATATATTTCCACAGCATAGCTATTGTCTTTTTGGTGTTACTCTGTAAGTATTATGAAGTCTTACCATTACCTTACCATGGGATAGGTTTAGTAACCATGGACCACCTTGTGGTGGCCACCACTTTCAAGGGCACATAATTTGTCCTTATCAGATCACACGCAGATTGCTGTAATCTTTTATCTGGACAGACATCATAAATTAGAGCTCCTCTTTTCCATTAGCTGTGTCTTTAACAGCATTATAGAGGTGTGCTGTCAGCATGTCCGCTGTGTGTGGCTCTGATAATGTCTTTGAGATATAAAAACACTGGGATTCCCTGTGTCTCCTATGTCCTCCTGGTCCATTAGCCCACAGGAGGACAGAAGACAGCAGCTGCATGTGTGACAAATGACTGCATCTGTTCTCACTGTAAGCCAATAAGGGGCGCCCACCATTATAGTTACAGTTTAGTTTTGGATACAATGAATAAATAGTCTAATAATTGATATACATTTTTTTGTAAGAAAATGTGTTCAGATGGCCCACAAAGGACATAAAAAGAAGGCAATTATTATGAAGTGCAAGTGTTCAGAAACTCTTTTGTCTTCATCACTCATCATAAAGAAATATAAAAACATAATCTGCTCCACACAGACTTTAGCATTAGGTGCTTTTGCATTTTTATGATGAACCAGGGACTCTCCTTTGCCCCTTTCACCATCACCAATCTGTGTATGCCAACTTTTAATTATATTTGATGAGTTTCCATAAAAAGTCCATTTCTGATGGTGTCTGGGGTTTTATTAGAGCTTTGCTGCTTCCTGCATTGCAGTCAATAGACAGCACAAATTCCCATCAGCCTCTGGATCTCTATATATCTGAGAGATAGGTCCAGCATAGCCTCCAGAGGTCAGTACTATATTTTTCTGCCTCTGTACCTCCTTTTTTAATACTTCTATTCAAGTCTGACAGCTAAGCAAAGCAACACTACCAACGCAGTGGATGGTGCAGTTCTATACAATCATCCATTCATCCATCCTCACCTCCTCCATCACTGCATGGTGCCCCGGGGTCACTGCCTGCGACACACAGAGATTGCAGTGCATTGTGGGTCTGCTGAGAAGGTGACCAGCTGCAGCCTCCCATCTCTCCAGGACCTGTACTTCTCCAGGATTCGGGGGTGAGCAGGTTGGATGACAGCTGACCCTTCTCATCCTATACAGGGAGTATGTGACTACTGCGCATGTCTCCTGCAGAAAGAGCCAGTGTCCTGTCTGGTATCATGTCAGTGTCTTGTAGGATTTCAGTAGATTTCAGGCTCTCCAAGGGGGCGGGGCTAGTTCATTCATCAGGTATTAGTGGACTGAAGTTTGAGATATTTTTTCTCGTCATTTACACACTCACCTGCATTTACCGCATACGGGTCATTAAGTTGTATCCCACTCACTAATGTTATTTTAGCATCATAACTTACTTTATCACATTATAAACTGTTTAAGCGTGCTGACAGCAGCGCTAGCTAACATTGCAGCTTCATGTTAGCCACAGAGACAGCGGCTCTTTCTGCATTTAGCGCATCTGCTGTGTTGATAAACAAATAATCTGTCTATACACAAACTATTTGAGCCACTCCCCTTGACCTCTCATTTCTAATTATCCAATTATCTTATCTAATATCTTTACTATGCCTCCCCATTGACCCTAAAGATATTGCATGGAGACAAGCAGGGCATGCCACCAGGTTACAGGTCAGATGAGTGGAGAACTGATCCAAATCATGGTATGAATGAAGAATGTATCTTTTTCAAGGTGTCGTTAGCAAGAAAAACGGTAAGAAATTCACAATGGACAAGTTAATGCCACACAGTGAAACATTTATTTTTATTATTTTATTTATTTATTTAAATAAATAAGTGCATATTAATGAACATTGCAGTGTGAATATGCCAGATAATAGTAAAAATGCTAATTTTCATTGGTGGTCATTGGCAGGTAATATCACAAATCATCCTATGTAAAGCAAAAACATCAAATGTTGTTCCCTGACAATGCCAGAAAAGCTTATTCTGATGCGCTGGTGTATAAATAATTGTGTTTCTGTTCATTTTTGTGTGTACCTTTCCTTTGTGATATGCGACTCATATTGAAGCCCTCTTATCACCACAGTGAATCTATCCCCAAACAGACCAGGCCCGTTCCTTCAGCTCACAGGCAAATATGGCTCATTACATTTTTCATGTTGTTTGTAATTGCTTGGCACTCTCAACACGTCAAGAGCAAGTCATTTTCCACAGTCTTGTCTTGTGTTTGCCGCCATGGGATCTGACTGAGAGCCGAATCAAACATGTTTTTATTTTCACTGACTGTGCGCGTCTGGTATGACACAGGCCCAAGAGAGAGATGTAACACATGGGGATGGCTCCAAAGGATGTTGTAATTTGAATACATTGGATTATGTAACATGTTATGTTATGCAATGTGATCCACAACTATAGCAGTCATATTCTCATATTCAATTTCAAGTTTTATTCTCAAGGTCTATAGTATCCTGTACATATTTACTACTATGTAGCTCTTTCAAACCAAGGCTATGAGTAGTAGGCAAAACTGTACTTGGAAAATGATTGAAGCAGCAGGTGTAATAATAATGTTCAAAATGTTCAGGTTCCCATGGGTAAACTCTACATGCATTTTACTCGGAGTCTACTCCCTATAACTCAAGACTCCCTAATACAACGAAATATCACTAAATCTCTATTTCTCTCAAACTTTAATCATCAAAAAAGTAAAAATGAAAGCAAGCATGTTCTTTTGTTGTACATAGTGAATGTTCAGCTGATTCCCCAACAGTGATATTAACACACTTTGATTGGACGTGTAAAAATGTCTACCACCGTGAGAGTTGGAGAGAGAATACTAAAAATGTAATCCATAAATCAGAACACAGAGTTGTTTTAAATATTGAGTGAGTTTCTGGCAGGTCTCATCGACTCACTGACAACACAACATCAGAGGAACACTGCGATCTGGCACTCGCTTCAGTCCAGGCTGTGGTTTAACAGTCTACATGCTGGGAGTGTATTTACAAGTCATTTACTCTCAGAGGGGGGCTGGCACTGGTCTGTGGACACAGTGGTGAGTTATAGTATCACTGTTTTTATTGATTCATAGTTTCTCATTGCATAGATCAGTGGTTCTTAGATTGTGGAACGGGAATCATTAGTTCTGGGCAAACATCTTCTGCTCAAGCCTGGTGTCCACTGCACGATTTCGCTTCATCATTATATGATTTTTGCATGTCACACCACACAACATGAGAAATTAAAACTATAAAACAGTTCAGTGGACACTCAGCTTTAAACATGCGCTTTTTTCTACCATTACGATTAACAACAAAAACACATACAGTAGTCATACCAAGATTAACTTTTTTTTTAAATTTTTTTTTTTTTTTTTTTTAGATTTATTGTACAAAATACAACTTAACTTTGACAGAGCAAATCTGTAGTATAGACACATTCTCACATCCATACCAATAAAAACATTAAATAAATAGATTATAGCACTGAGTCCCTTCAGGCCTTTTATCTTGTGGGTAGAGGTTGTTGTGCAGCCTTTGTGTGTGTGAGGGGAGTTTGAAGCTGAGGAAAGAGTATGGAAGAGGTAGTTCCCTGGGTGTGTAGGGTTCTGCAGAATATTGGAGGCCTGTGTGTGGAGAGGTGAAGAGTAGACGGCAGCCACGTTTGGGAGCTGTTCTCACTGGCTGCAGGTCCTTCTTTCTAGCAGCTGTGCAGGCTCCATACCATGATGTGCAGCAGTACGTCAGAACACTTTCAGTGGTACACTGGTGGAAGTTGGTCAGCAGTTTCTGGGAGAGCCTATTCTGGTGAGTGTTCGCAGAAAAAACTGTCTCTTCTGGGCACGCTTTATAATGCTGGCGGTGTTTAGGCTCTAGGTCAGGTCCTCACTGATCTGCACTAGCCAGGCTGGCGTCAATTAGTGCCTCCGCTCAATTTCATTTCTCTCCAGCAATTAGGTCAGGAATCAAAATACAATAGACAGTTCGCAAAAACCCCGGAAGTGCAAGTTCCGGCACCAGCCAATCAGCGAAAATCATATATTCAGTGTTGTCAATAATTTCAGAGATTGAGGATTTAAAGCCAGAATAAAGAGAATATTTGGTGAATTTAATCAAGGGGAAAGACGTTATTGCCCTTCTTCCCCCGGATTTGGGGAAAACCTTAATATACCGGTTAGCCCCGTTAGTGGCGCATTACATACGTGACTACCAAATAGCAGCGATTGGTTAAATGATAAAAAGTACCCACCTACTGTTGAGTGAACAAATTTTAAGACTGTGAGGTCAGACGGTTTCTACAAAGTGAAACCGGCTGATGAATCAGGCTAGATCTGCACACCCAGGAACGTAAAATTGGGGACCTTCTCTACCTCCTCTCCATTGATGCAGAGGCCATTGTGATGATGAATTTGTTTGTTTTTCCAATAGTCAGTCACGATTTCTTTAGTCTTCTTTGTATGTAAATATGTTATGCTTTCGCTATACTGTAATGATATTCCTCTTTTTGATACCAACAATTTAGTTTGATCGATATATGAAAGGAAGATTGACCAGCGGAATATGCTGTGGTCCCATTCATGTCTCATAACCTTGTGGCTATAATTTGTCTGAATCAGCTAAACTAATAAGTAAGTAAATTCCTTGATTGAGTTTTTATTTTCGTTGCATAAAATACATTTGTGATAAACTGCAGCAACCGTATTCAAACAAGGTCCAACAGCACAAC